TCAACCGACTTTTTGTTTGCCACAAGTTTTGAATACTTTTAAGAACACAGGCAAACTCTCTATAATCAAGTCATAGTTTTGCAACAAGTGACAAACTTCAATTTTTTACCATTGTAACCCTGCAAACAAAATAACTAAATATCACTTCCTAATTATGCATATGAAATCAAATCCATTTCTTTTTTCATTTTTCAACGGTTACAAGTTAGAGAAATCCCTGGCATGCAAAAGAGGTGTGGGGTGGGCTTTCACTCACCTCCAACGGTGAAACTTGGAAGAGAAAAAGTATACTTGAGAACATCCTTACACAACCCAGTGAAAACCCCAAGGCCTCGAAGCAATTCGAAATCTCTAAATTTTGAACAGAAAAGACCCCGAAATTCATTAGTCGCCACTAGGAATAGCATTCTTATGATCACACTCACTTTAAAGCAATGCTTGATGGAGCTTTATGGGTTTTAATACAATATTAAGGGCCCATTTAGCATGACTTTTACTTCATGTAAAAGAGTTTTTTGAGGAAATTGCCTTAAATTTTGTCTGAAAACTTATTTATAAAAGAGCATCTTATTTCGAAAGTATTTTTAGGGAAAGCCACATTGAACTAACTTCCTCTAAAAACTCTTCTAATTAGAATTAACACTTTCATAAAATTAGCCAAACGAGTTCAAAAACAGCTTTTAGATCTCAAAAACTTCTTTTGGCTTTTCAAAAATTGTGTCAATTTGAGTGATTTCAACACTTTGGTTATCTCCTTTGGTTCCAACTGTAGTCATCTCCTGGATGTTAGCATGAAATTTGCGCAGGCATATTTATTAGCAGCTTGTTTGATATAATATCAACTTTTCAACTAATCAAATTTCAATTTTAAAAACACATTTATTATAGCTTACAATTTTAATCATTCCAATCATACATTTTATAACGATCCAAGCATGGGCATACAGGCTCGGAAATGTGTTTTTTGTAATAAAATGACAGGTGTACCCAAATTGTTATATCGTGTGTACTGTTTGCTTTGGAGAGCATACGCCATCTTATCTATCACGAATTTTCATCGCGTCACCTAGGATTTAAACCTTACGAGAGATTTAAATTGAATAAAAAAAAATTAAATATTTATCTTCTCTAATGATTTAAATGAGTTGGTCAACACATGTTATTATAGAGTTGTACAAGAAACTTGCAATGCCGTTATCAACTATCATCACCCCCAATTATTAGTAAGTTATAAACATGGCGATTTGATGATAGGACCGTGAAAGTCGAAAATAATCATCAAAATTGAAAGAAAAATGATGTTTGTACCTCAATTTTTTGCTTCATTAAGTCGCTCTACGTTCTAAATTCGTCAAAACTAGTCAAACATGCTCAATGACATGGTTTATTTACAGGGGATGAGTTGCCAGTTTTTGATTGGCAGCTTTTTGTTTTAATATCTTTTTAATTGTAAGTGAAATTTCGCCAAATGTACGTGTGAAAAAGCCAGTCGTTGAGCCTATTAATATAACAGGCTTGTTTCCTTAATGATGAAGGTTGGGAATTTGACTTTGAAAATTGTTAAATAATAGCTCGTCTGGTGGAAATGAAAATAATATTTTTAATACATTTTAATAAAAATTGATGAAATGTGTGGTTGAAAAATTGTGAATCTCATGAAATATATAATTAAAATTAATTGCTGATTTTGATTTAAAATAAAAATGAAATTTTAATTTTCACCAAATAGTG